CTCCCCCAGAGGATGAGGAGGGTACAGACCAAAGTAAGCACAAGCTTACGTAAGGGTAATGCCTTTTGGTACGGCATTAAAAAAATACTAGTCCTCCATTGGGCGGTGGAGGACTTAGAGCTAAGACACCCCAAAACTCTCCGGCGTGAGATCCAAAATAGATCGGAGGGTGGACGGGGGGTGTACTCATAGTCGTGCATGCCGTAGTCGTTAGACCATTGACCTCGCATCCCTACAAAGCCGGNTGTGTAACTGCCTCGAGGGTGCTTGACCATTTGAACACAACGTGGTGCGATCATCCCCCTTGCGCGGAGTGAGGGTTCTCGACCCCGCACAACATGATCTACTCGACCACCATGATGGTTACCGCCAAAAATATAACAGAGCCAAAAAAAAACAACGGTATCCTGGTTGCCGAGTTCACGAAGTGAATTGGCTTGTTTTACAACGTCGTTGCCATCCCGATGGCAAACACCGAGGGGACGGCAGAGGGGGGGGGGGTGTTCGTTGCTTGAAGTGGATCAATAAAACATTAAGCCATCAAAGCGAAGCTTATTACTCACGTCGAGCAAGCTGAACGACCAGACCAACCACGCAAAAACTGCGGAGCTAGATGTACGGACAATGCATTGTTTTCGTTTGAAGAGAGGCGAGTACAAAGCAGTAAGGAAGTGTTGGCCAAACTTCGGCAGATAGGTCTACTCGGGAGCGTAAGGGGGGTAGCAACCCATGGTGGAGCGTACATCACAAGCTGGACGTTGGTGTACGCTCCATCCCGGCGTGTGAGTAGGATCTTAGGCTATGCCAGCCGTCCCTGAACTTATTGTGGTGAAAGTGACCTCCCACGAGGAAAAGAGCCTGTACCGCGGGACTTCGGAGGTGATAAATTGGTTGGTCGGGGGACGTCTGGGAACGCCCGGCGCAAGATTGGGGTACTTGTGCCAGGAGGTGTGAACTTGGATCTAGACTACGAGCCTATGTTGGAGGCGCTATTTAGCGTCGGTGAGCCGGCAAAAGAACTGAAAGGAACCACAACCCCCGCCGGACACTCGGATTGGGAAGGCCGAGTATTCCGTATACCTTCCTGAAAAAACACGAAAAACAAGTGGCCACGGTCCAGTTGCCGTAGAGATCATGAGGATGGTGAAGAAGCTTGGAGGATGGAAGCAGAAACTGTGGAAGGGAGACAAGTTGGAGCTGCTGCTGTTTGGGATTCCAAGGGACATGACGAGGATAGAGTTCAAGAACTGTTGTGACAGGGAGGGACTGCACTGCCTAGCAAGGGGACAAGTAGGCAGAGAACATGAACACTTCCGGGTGAAATTGACCAAGGGAGACAGCCAAGAGTGCTTGGGGGTTGATATCGAGAAGCTGTCGAACTACGTAAGGAAGTTTGGATGGAGGGTTTGCATCGCGAACATGATAGAAACAGAGAAGGTAAGGAGACAAGAGGCGAGGGCGACGGAGGCGAAGAAAGGACCGAGCAGGGCAGTCGAGCAAGCAAGTCAGAAGAAGTCCGAGAAGAAGCGGAAGGCGAACGATGGTGTGCGCAAAATCTCCAATAGGGAAAAGCGCAAGCTGAGAGTCGGGTCGTGGAACGTGTGCGGGTTCGCAAGGAGTGAGCGCAAGCGGTTGGAAATAGTGGACCAAGTAGAACAAAGCGATCTAGATGTAGTGGGGATCCAAGAGACGTGGGAATTGAAGGATGGTGACGTGGTAAGCAAACTAGGGAAATACCGGTGGGTAGGGAAGGCAAGAAAGGGCTTAGACCCGAAGAAAAGGGGGGAGGGGGGAGTCGGATTCCTGGTCAAGGAACACTTGTTTGACGTGGTGGAAGTAGTGGTGAAAACGGAGTTCGAGGAAAGCCTATGGCTTAAGATACCTGGGGAGCGGGGTGAGAAAGATTTGTTTCTAGGGAACGTATACGTCCCACCGTCGTCGAAGAAAGTCGCAAGCAAGGCGCAGGAGAACTTTGGACAAATTGGGGAAGATGTCCAGAGGTTCAGTAGGAAGGGAGAAGTTGTCATGGTGGGCGATTTCAACTCCAGAGTAGGGAAAGCTTCCAGTAGAGGACAGGCGATCGGGCAGCACGGAGAAGACAAAGTGAATGACAACGGAGTGAGGATGCTTGAATTCTTGGGAAGCAACGAACTGATGGTGTTGAACGGTAGGAGGGAATGCGATAAGCCGGAGTTCACAAGGCAACGGGCAGTTTGCAATGAATACTCAATCCTCGACTACATCCTGGTAGACAGGGGGAGCACGCAGATCCCAGAGCTGCACATAAGTGCGATAGATATAGGTTCGACCGACCACTTCCTCATATGGGCAAACATCGACCGATCCAGAAAGATGAAGAGTAAGAAACAGAGGAAAGTGTTCCGATGGAAGGTAGAGCGTTTGGGAGACGATGGGACACGGGATGAATTCCAGAAGGGGCTGGCTGGTAGTGTAGAATCCTTCAGGAAACTGCTGAGAAGCGTCGAAGACGGACAGGTAGACGTACAGGCAGCAGGGGACAGAGTGATTGAAGGGTGGGAGTCCATCGTGAACGCAACGGCAGAGAGAGTAGTGGGAACGAAGGTGGTACGATGTGGGGTATCGGTTAAGTGGTGGGATGACGAGCTGAAAGAAGAAATAGGGGAACGTAGAAAAGTCTTCAAGCAGTACCTGAGTGAGGCGTCTGAGGAGAGTTGGGAAAAGTACAGGGCCAAGAGAAAACAGGTGAAGGGACTAGTGAGAAAGAAGAAAAAGTGTATTTGGGACGAAGTAGTGCAGAAGGCCAACGGAGGCCTGGAGGGAAACGTCAAGCAGATGTGGGAAGGGATTAGTGGAATGGTAAAAAAGACCGCGCAAGGGGGGGATACAGGGGTCGCAACTTTGCGAGGTGTGAACGGTGGATTAGTCAGCAGTGGGAAGGGAAAAAGGGAAGTTCTAGCAGGACACTACAAGAGACTTGGAGTGCCCTCGGAGAATGAAGCTTTTGACCAAGTGTTTAAGAAGGAGGTGGACGCATGGGCCCAAAAAGAAGAAGAGACATCGAAGGCAGACGTTGGGAACGTAGAACTAGAAAAGGAGTTCACTGAGGACGAGGTTGAGGCGTGTGTGAACAAGCTGAAGTGCCACAAAGCAGCAGGAGCGGATGGGATAGTCAACGAGTTCATGAAGTTTGGGGGGAAGGGGATGATCCAGCTGATGGTACTGCTATACAATTCGGTGTGGAAAAACCAGCATTCGCCAAGTAGATGGAGGGAAGGAGTGGTTGTGAACTTGAAAGGAGACAAGACTGACCCAGGAAACTACAGGGGGATCACACTGTTGAACACAGTAGGAAAAGTGTTCTGTAAGCTGCTGAACGATAGGATAGTGGGAGTATTGGAGAAGGAACATAGCATTAGTGAGGGCCAGGCAGGTTTCCGCAAGAAGAGGGGGTGCGTAGACCACGTGTTCACGGTAGGGAGAATCATCCAAGGTAGAAAGAGGGCGGGAAAGCCGACGTACTGCTTCTTCCTGGACGTGAAAAAGGCATACGATACCGTTTGGAGAAATGGGCTGTGGAAACAACTGTCCAAGCACGGGATGAAGGGGAAAATGTGGAAAGTGCTGAAGAAGATGATAAGAGTGTATGAAAAGCGCGGTCATGCTAGACGGAGAAAGGTCTAAATTCTTCGACATTGAGCATGGGGTCCCACAAGGTTGCACGCTG